ACACACACACACACACACACACACACACACACACACACACACACTCACACACACACACACTCACACACACTCTCACACACACACACATACACATACTCACACTCTCACACACACTCACACACACACACACACACACAGGCAGTCTGGTCTGTCTGTCTCTGACTGTGATTGTGTACTTCTCTTCTCTAATGCCACGTGACATTTTGATCCCAACGATAAAATGTGTGAGAATTGAATTCAGCCTGTTTCCAGCATCTGTGATCTAGAGTCTGGCCTCAGAAAGTCGCTCTCAAAGTCACGAGTCGGGTTTATTGTCTGTAACGCAGAAGCTGTGGCATGTTTTCTCTTTTTCTTGCTTTTAAGGCTTTCTGTTCACAATTGAAGAATCGGCTCCGTTGCCATTCACGACTTGGAATTTGAATTGAATTGGCTTAACAGGATGTTGGAATTTGAAAGACAGGAAGATGAATTCCAAATTTACCCGAATTGGAATTTTGGATTTTAAATAAACATTGATTCTTGATGTCTTCTAGTGTTTCAAATTCATAATTCATACTTCAAATGTTTTTAAAAATACCTTTTTTCCATTTTAAATATTACTAACACTATTTACAGTGTCCTTGTTGCACATCACACGTACTTATGCATAATAACATGCAGTTAACCCTATATAGTAAGTACAGGTTGTTAATTATTATTCCTCAGTACTTAAGTGTAATTACACTGTAAGAAGGACTGTTTAAAATGAAGTGTAACCTTGCTTCCTTAAACTATTCTGCATCTTGTTTGCCACCTCAATTCAAATTCAGACGTTGAATTATCTCCGCTTCGGTTCATGTTGATGCAGTAAAACTCCTCAGATGTTTTCCTTTGATCGATTCTGCAGCTTTATCTGTAAAGTTTAGATGGCATGTTTTTGTGAAAGCAATGAAAAAGATTAAAATCAAGCAATAATGAGCAGGATCGGTGTCCTTCAAAGCCATTTTTGTCGCTGTCCTAATTATTGTTATCATAATGTCTTGTTTTAATATAGAACAGAAGAAACCTATAATGCTTCATCTGGGCTGTCCGTGTTTGCTGTTGGGCTTCAGCTCTTGGTGTGTTCATTTGGAAATCGTTATTTTTAATTAGTCTTGTACAGAGAATATTCCAGAGCTTCTATTGGCGGGTTTGATTGTTGTTCATTTGCTTTAGATCGAAAGCTTTTTAATTAAATGTTTGATGTTTGCTTTTGAATGTGGGCGTGTCTACGTCTTTTTTCAGTACTTCTGTGCATTAAATCGAGTGCTCGTGTCACTTTTTTTCGGATATGAAAGGGTCAGTGCTCTGGTGTTTTTTTCTTCTATATTTTCACAACGTTTTGAACTGCAGTTTGTGTACAACGTATAGAAAAATAAATAAATATGTATGTATATGAAATATTAAAGAGAACTGTTTTTTTGTATTAAATTGCTATTGTCAAAAAAAACAAAACAATCGTATATGAAATATTAAAGAGAACTGTTTTTTTGTATTAAATTGCTATTGTCAAAAAAAAAAAAAACAATCTTTGTTGGGACCTTTATTTGAACTGTGGACACTCTTTGACAAGTCTGTTAATACAGTATATCCAGTGTACAGTACATTACCTTTCATTTAGCCATTGATAACATCAGCAAAATACAACAGAATTTTTAAATGTTCATTTTATCAAGGGTTTGGGTTCAGTAAGATATATATATATATTTATATTTAAAGAAATTAATACTTTTATTTAGCAAGGACATATTAAATTTATCAAAAGTGACAGTAAAGACATCTATAGTTAAAAATGTTATGACCTGTGGCTCCAAAAGGCCGCAACAAAGAAAGGGACACAACGATAGAAAAGCCAGGTGTGTGTGAATCATCCATCAAATAATTAACACAATATACAAACATGTCATTCCTCTTATCCCTTCTTAAACTTTGGAACCAAGCGCAGCTACACAAACGGCAAATTAATCACAAACAGGCACGGGACAATGCATCTGTCACAATATATTCTGCCCCTCGAATGCGTCGAATGTCAAGACTGTATGACTGCAAAAACAAAGACCACCGAATAAATCTTTGGTTTGGAAACTGGAGAGAGTTCAGAAACCTCACATTTTGCCAAGTATATAGTGAGCTTAGGCTTGGACACAGGGGCGCCGCTAAGGGGGGGAAAGTTAGGACGATTCTAAGGGCCCACGCACTTTTGGGGCCCCCAGAGATCTGTTTTATTAGTAGTAACAGTAGTAGTAGTAATGTAATAGAAATTATAAATGTATCTACCAAAGAATTACAAATAAAACAAAGTTCCGGCTTATTTCTGCATTTCCGGCAAAATTATCTCCCCCCATTCACTGCATGGTTTCGTCCCGTCCTAAGTAGCCCAGAGAGTGAGATCAGATGGTAAACTGTCAAATTAGAGACGTCTTCGAGTTCGAGGGGGGGCAAACCGAGCCGGACGATTTGGTCAGTCGCACTTTTGAACACATTTTAGTTGTGCTATAAAAAAAACTACAAATGCACACTCTGATTACATAGAGCAGCAGCAGGAAGCGCATGAGGTTGTCCTAGCAATCAGATACACTGCACGCGAATCACGGCTGCTCTTCTATTTTGCCACACTAAACTTCGCAATAAACATGTTGAAAATAAAACACAATAAACATGTCTGTCAAAACGATCTCAAAGGAGGCTTTTATTAAGCAAATCAAGGAGCGATTGGAGTCAAACTCGTTCCATATCAGCAGAATAGTGTGGTACAAAAAGTCTATGTCCATAGAAAAGGTTCTGAATGAATTATGTTACCGATACCTAATGGTCAAAAGCAATAGCAAAAGTAATAGGTCAATATTGTTAAATTGCAGACAAAGATTTTGAATAGCTAGGTTGGCTTGTATGCATGTTTGGTGCGGTAGGGCAGTGAATCTCAACCTTTTTGGCGTACCGGACCCCAGTCCAATTCAGAACCATCCTCAAGGACCCCCAGAACAAAATTGACTCGTATCATTTGTGTCTTTGTGAGGACCAAATGCAGTCAAGTATAATTCAAGTTAGCTGACTTGTCCAGTATTTGGCCATATCATCAGCTATATTGGATTTTTCTTTCATGGGAACATGTCATGTCTGCTTTATACGGCCCCCCTGGCCTTATATCAAGGACCACTAGGGGTCCACGGACCCCTGGTTGAGAAACACTGCGGTAGGGGGCCCAAACTCATATTCTTTCATAGGGCCCAAAATTGCTAGCGGCGCCCCTGCTTGGACAGACGCCTCAACACAGCACAAACGCATTTAATATGAGTGTCCCAGCTATCACTAAACACAACGAGATCATCCAAGTAGACTGCACAACCGCCAAGTCCTGAAATTATCATAAGATGTTGAAACGTCGCTGGGGCATTCCTTAACCCAAAACTCATAACTTTAAAAGAGTATAATCCCATAGGGGTGACAAATGAGGAAATATCCTGCCAGTAGCCTTTAAGCAAGTAAAACTTGCTCACAAATTTGGCTGAACCTACATGAGGAAGTGGAAAACAGTCTGGTTTGGTTACACTGTTAACTTTACGGAAATCAGTGCAAAACCTCACTGACCCATCAGCTTTCCCAACGAGAAGACAGGGGGATGCCCAGTTTAAAAAGGACGGTACAGCAATATAATTTTCCTGCATGTACTTAATTTCTGCCTCCATAATCTCACGTTTATCTGCGGAGATGCGATAAAAACTCTGCTTAATGGGTTTAGCCTCCCCTACATCAATGTCATGCTCTATCCAATCTGTACGGGATGGAGTGTCACCAAACAAATCCAGAAAACTCTTCAATAATGCAATTAATTCCGCATGTTGCAATGGAGGTAAATGAGCAAGAATGGAGACTAGTCTCTTCAATGACTCAGAGTTATTTAACCGACCACGCAAAATACAATCATCAGGCTCGTATCCTTTCTTAGCTTCAGGCAACTCTTGTGCTTGAACCAATCGTTGTTTAAAACCGTAAACATAAGACTCTAAATTCTTTGGAGAATCTGATATGCTAACAGAGTTCTGGAGCACAGACAAAAGTCCACGAACTTTATGACCAAAAACAAGGTCATCGGGACTAAACCCAGTGCTCTCCTGTACTACCCGCCAGCTTTAGCCAGGGTAATCCCTCCGCCCAATCTCCATCTAACTGTACAATAAGCCCATAGAAGAGGCTTCAAAGTCTGGTGGAAACTCTCTAGTGCACCTTGACTTCGGGCATGGTATGCAGTAGCAAGATGATGTTTAGAGAGCTTTTACTATGGAGCGAGAAGTGATTGTACGCAGTGGGTTACCAGCAGGAATACGTGTATTTAGACACATTCTAGTCAACAAGTATTTACTACCCGACTTTGAAGATGGTAACGGCCCCACACAGTCAGTGATAAGGTGTTCAAAAGGTTCGCCAATCGCTGGAATAGGGTGCAACGAAGCAGGTTTGAGTTTCTGATTAGGTTTACTCGTTAACTGACAAGTGTGACTGTTTTATATAAGTTTATGCAAGGCCAGAAAAAAATGTCTTAAAATATGATTATACGTCTTTCGTACTCCTGAATGACCAGAATGGTCATGCGCGACTTCCGACAATGCCACTCAAATCCTAAGGTTCAAATCCCGGACGAGCCCCCAATTTGTTACGACCTGTGGCTCCAAAAGGCCACAGTAAAGGAATGAACAAAAAGATAGAGAAGCCAGGTGTGTGTGATAAAACCACTCAGGGAATCATCCATCTTCGAAATACGGGGGAGTTGAGCAACACACACCGGATCGACACACAAAAGATTTGTTTCAAATAAATGCTGTTCTTTTGAACTTTCTATTCATCTGTGAATCCTGAAAAATAAAATGTATCAAAGTTTCCACAACAATATTGTGCAGCACAACTGTTTTCAATATTGATAATAATCAGAAATGTTTATTGAGCAGCAAATCAGCATATTAGAATGATTTCTGAAGATCATGTGACACTGAAGACTGCAGTAATGATGCTGAAAATTCAGCGCTGCATCACAGAAATAAATTACAGTTTAACAGATATTCACATAGAAAACAGCTATTTGGTGGTCTTTTGTCAAATTGCTACCAAATCTTGGCTGTATAATGTTTGAAGAAAAATATTTTTTTTATTTATTTACTTCAAATAAAAATACAACAATAATTACTTTAGACAAGATGCCCTCAAAACAGATCAGCGGTCAGAGGTTTTGTCACGCAATTCTGATACACTCTTAAAAATAAGAGTTTCTTTTTTGGCATCGATGGCTCAGTGAAGAACCTTTAACATCCATGGAACCTTTCCATTCCATTCTTCAAAGTGGAAAAATGTTCTTTAGATGATTGAAATATTGAAATGAAACTGTTCTGTTAGGAATTGTTCACTGAAAGGTTCTTTGGGGAACCAAAAATGGCTCTTCAATCCCTTTTGGAAACCTTTAAGAGTGTAGTTCATGCATCAGTGCTAGCTTTCAGTTTCCATCTCCACCAGCATCTGAACCCCATCGATCTGTGTCCTGATCCATCGGTCTGAAATCTGTCAGTGCTTTATCATTCTCAGCTCGCCGGGTCGCTGGTAACACATGAAGTGGCCTCTAGTGTTTCTGAAGCAGCCTAAAGGGGCGTTTTAAGCCATACAAGGCCTGATTGCTACCAAACTCCTGTTTAACTATTCATCGTGGACACAGGTGCCAAGTGTTGGTGTGTATGTCTCTCAGGCCAAAGGAAGACATGCTAATATCCGAGATAAGAGAACATGTATCCCTGACCGACGACTGCAGGATGAGCCAGCGCCAGGATCAAGGTATTTCTTCCAAACGTCTTCATTTTCCATCGGTTGAGAATGAAATTTCTAAGTCAGAATCAATTGCATGCAATTCAGCAGCTAAGTGTAGTTTCAGATGTGCATTAAGTCTCAAACAAGCGCAGAACAGACCTTGATTTGTGTGCTGGAATGTGAGACTCGTCTGTTTTACACCGACAGAAGCCCAACACCGGCGACTAGGGTTGCTTTTGACAAGAACAACTGGGAATTTATGGGAAGAAGTGACGTTTGGACAATGCCATGAGCAAATCCAGCTCATATCTTGGACGTTTACTGCTATATATCATGTGTTTGTCACTCAGGGAAGCTTCGACTCTCTAGTAGAGTCGATTCCTCCATTCTTCAGTAATCATGGACCAGCCTCTTCCAATGTCTCGACTGGATGTTGATGTGGATTTGGGCTTCGCTCTCTTCTTCTTGGTTCTGCTGTGTTTGTTTCTGTTGGTTACAGTGGTTCGCTGTGCTCAGATGGTTCTGGATCCGTACAGTGCCATCTCTGTGTCCACCTATCAGGAGGAACAAGAGCAAGTGGAGGGGTGAAGGTTAAAGCCGGCGGATTGAGAACCATTGGATTGTAGAAGAACTGCTTCTGGAAATACTCGGAGAACACAAGTGGAAACACATCTACACTTTCTCTAACCCTCATCGTGTGGAGACTCTTGGATTTCATCGCAGCTCATCCGGGAAAAGGGATCTGAGTGTCATTATGAGATCTCATTACCACCAGGAATCACCAAAGCACCAATGAATCAACAAAACTGTGTATGAATATCAGAAATCTGATGCGGTTGGGTGAGAGTATCCTTCAGAGGTGAGCGACAGAGTCTCTCAGAATATTCTGGCTTCTATTTTTGGTTCAGTGAGTCTTAACTGAATTAACTGTAGTGCCGTGAAACTCAAAACCACATGCATGGATCCTGTTACACTTTTCCAGCGGATCACACGGCAATGGTCAAAATGTCAACTTTACGCACCGGAACAATATTTAAATTCTGAATATCCGAAATGCTTTGAATAGGGTTTGAATAAGTGTTTTTATTTATTTATTACATTACATTTATGTGTTTAGCAAACACTTCAAAGCAACTTTCAAAAGAGATTTTAATTAGTTAATGTGCATGCATTAATTTATGCATGTTGAATAACAGCTAAATAATAAATTGTGGTTTTATTCCAAAAAACAAACAAACAGTATATTGGTATTTCTCAGTATTCTTTTGAGAGATGTTACAGTTTTTCTTTTTCTTTAATCAAAATTAAAATACGGTCAATAGAAATATGGTCAAAACACATTGTAAACTATTGCACACATTGTTAGTTCGTGCACACTGTTTAGTATGTTTTTAAGCCATTTACCAGAACACACTCACACAGTTAAAAAAAAAACAGTATTATAATATCTAATAATTGGCTCTACAGGGTAACTTAGTGGACAATTGCACCATTGTAACTCATAATTTCAATTGCCTTGTCTGGCCAACCACTTAACATCAAGATTTGAAAATATATTTGAATTGAAATCATTAAAAATACTGCAGACCCCAAACAGTGTACCCCACCACAGTTGGCGGTCAATTCATGTATTCTATGCCAAAACAGTTATTGTAGATAAAATACTGTAAAAAAAAATAAAAACAAGATGGTACTTAAAATAACTCGTTTTAAATGTCTGCCACAGAAGAAAATAACATGAAGCTGGTTGCATGATCTTGTGATATACTGTTTTTTATTTGCAGCTTTTTAATTTAATAGCATAATTTACAGAACTTTTGCAGACATAAAAATCTTCTTAATTTAAAGACAATTAAAAAAAAATAAAAAATCCAAGTATTCAGATTTTAGTAATACATTTATTATGGATAATGTTGACCTTTAATATATGATTTCTGTTAATGGATAAAAAAATACTTTTATGAGGAAAGTTGTTCGAAAAAATTATATAATTATCATTAAAGAGTAAAATGGCTTTGGCAAGATTCTAACCAGTGTTGGGGAAAGTTACTTTTAAAAGTAATGCATTACAATATTGCGTTACTTCCTAAAAAAGTAACTAATTACGTTACTTAGTTACTTTCTATTGAAAGTAATGCATTACGTTACTTTTTAAATCTGGGCTGGGCTTGCTTGTTTGCTTTTAATATAAAAAGTTATATTTTTGGCAAATGTAAAAGCCCTTTCACACCAAAAGCCTCAGGCTGAAGGAAATGTAAATTCACATCTGTACAGTAAACACAGAAGAAGAAAGTTCAACACTCTTCAGCAATAAAAAAAAGAAGAAATGTTAGTTTATCTTGTGTAATTTTTTCTTATTAGTATAGTTGAATTGGATCACTGAAGGTCAGCAGCAAATTGGTTAATAAAATGGGATTAAATACATAAAGGATATTTGTATTATTTAACATATTTAATTAATGCAGCTTTGCGTCAAATTCTGAGTTGCTTTTAACTGTTTTTATTAATTTTGAGGAAAACTAAATCTGATTTTTTTTTTTTTTATGAGTGAGTGAGATTAATTAATGCATGTTCACATTTATTCTAGAACTAAAGTAACATCTTACTCCCGATTTCTCTCAACATGGGGACAGGAGAGCTTTCAATCAATAAATGGGAAAACAAAGTAACTGGCGTTACTTTTTTGAAAAATATTTTCAAATTATTTTCTATAAATTAAAAAGTAATGCGTTACTTTACTAGTTACTTGAAAAAAAGTAATCTGATTACGTACCTCGCGTTACTTGTAATGCGTTACCCCCAACACAGATTCTAAACAATGTTAATTTTAACATATATTTTTAACGTTTGCTGGTATAAATGGAAAAATATTATAACATTCATCCAAACTCCTTACTATCTGCGAAACAGGAATACTTTTAGTTTGAAAAAATAAAATGCATTCTTGAGTATAAATTTGACTTTTATTCTGAAAAGCGTTCAATGGCTGTAGCAGTACTGCGCACACATGATATCACACCGGTATCGCTAGCTTTATCTAGAGGATTTTAAAGTATATAACATTCAGGTGTCATTTAAAAGCTCTTTCTCATTTTCAACGCGGATTTGCTGAAGGTAAAGTGTGTTTTTAAAGCGCGGCTGGATCTAATGTCCTGTGCTCGCGACCGAAGGTCATGGTTGAAGTGATTCATGAACACGTTATAATTGCTGTAACGTTAGCTGTAATAGCTGATCGCTGTTCTCTGGTGGTTATTGCAGCATGTGTGTGTTTGGAGGAGTGTTGAGGCGCGCGGTGACCGCCTGTCAATCATCGGCTCTGCTGTGCGCGAGACTCTTCAGCACAGGTGACGCACAGATCCACTGCTGATCCACTCTCTAGTAATGTGTGCAGTGTGAGTAAAGTGTGCTGTATGTATCACACAGGCTCGTGCGCTAGAATACGAATGCACGCTGTTCCCAAACTGAGAGAGGTGGATCGATGGACGGAGAAGAGAAGCATGTTTGGAGTCTATGACAACATCGGGATCTTGGGTAAGCGCATTAAAACTTAAAGGGGTCATATGATGCGATTTCAATTGTTCCTTTCTCTTTGGAGTGTTACAAGCTCTTGGTGCATAAAGAAGATCTGTAAAGTTGCAAAGACTAAAGTCTCAAATCCAAAGAGATATTCTTTATAAAAGTTAAGAGTTAACCACGCCTACCTAAAACGCCTCGTTTAAACACGCCCCCACATGTCTACATCACAATGTGGGAAGATTTGCTTTCACCATGGACCAAGTGGAGTCCAGCCCGGGGTCGTCACATGTGGTTGCAGCAGGCATCACAGTATGTGAGGGGCGTAACATTTCCGTCTCACGCTTGAGGTATTCGGCCAATCACAACGCACTGGATAGCTGGCCAATCACAGCACACCTCGCTTTTCAGACCGATGAGCTTTGTAAAAATCGACGCGTTTCAAAAAGGCGGGGCATAGAGGAGAAACAATAATGTACAGTATGTGGAAAATAATGTTTTTTGAACCTTAAACCACATAAACACATTTCATTACACCAAATACACAAAATAATGTTCTTTTTAGCAGCATCATATGACCCCTTTAAATAGTTTCACTGTACATTTCTATAATGTTTTTTTTTTCTCAATTTCCATATTTCATCGGCTAGAATAGAAATCGCTCTTTGTAAGTTCAGTCTGCTGTTGTGTTCAACTTCTGTGTTGCGTTGGTTTTCACGCAGTTTCCCAGAAATCGACACTAAAAATACACGTTTCAAGAAAAAAGCATGTTGCAGAGACTAAACAGAAATACAGTATATGAGAAATTCCATAATTTCCATATTTCTATTATGTAGTGTGCATATTTTATGTTCAAATTAGCTGCACGGACATGGAATTAGAAAAATGTGTTTTTGTCATGAGCTTGTAGCGACTATTTGCAATTGAGGTGCATATAAGTAAATATTATCTAATATTATATGTACCTAGTGTTGTCTTTTTCTCAAAGCCTTGTGAGGGTCAAATGGGTTTCGTTTCTCACGCTTCTTTTCAGTGCTGCATCAGTCTAATAAATTAGCTCCACAAATAAAAAATAAAAAAACAAACTTTGACAATTTTTTTTTTTACTGAACTCGACTAGATAAAATTGAATTCTCCTTTGATGAATTAGTAGACCAGTGTTAATTTTGAGTAAACTTCAGGTCTTAACTTTAGTAAGTTTCATATTTTACTGTTTGACAAGCTACAATAACGTACGTTTTTCTTTTTAAACCTGACTCTTTGCTCAAGGTGATTTTTGGCAAATTGCATATATGAGTCAGATTGTCTCGACACAAAAGTCTTAAAATTGGTACAGCCTGCATAAACTTTGCATGCACATTCATTGCTCTCAAATCAATTAAGATACAAAATGTGAACATACAGTAAGATAATGAAGGCGCTTTTTACTAAAAGAAAAAAACATGCATGCACCAAAACAACAATACACAGTGAAAAATGCACTTAAATTATTTCATAGTTACCAAGTAAATAACTTAAATGCATGTAAAATGCCACACAGAGAGTTCCATGAGCATGATGCAAACAAGCAAATCACTGTATTTTGAACAGATTCATTCTGACGCATGAAAATGAATTCCTCGTTCCGGTTCTAATTGGTCTCATTGTGTTACTGAGATGTGATTGAAATATTGGTCTTGATGTGCTTTGTTTTAAATGACCTACCAGGACAGTCCCTAGGAAACATAATGGACCAATAATGCATTAAAATGCTAAATATTCTGCATAAATCATCCAGCACTATGGTACATTGATCAGCATTGACTGTGTTTGACTGCAGGAGATTTTAAAGCTCATCCGAAAGACCTGATCCGAGGACCGGTGTGGCTCCGAGGCTTCAGCGGAAACGAGCTCCAGCGGCTCATCAGGAAGAAGCGGATGGTGGGAGAGCGAATGCTGACTGAGGACAAGCACAACCTGGATAAGAGGATCAGCTTCCTGTACCGCCGCTTCAACAGATACGGCAAACACAGATAGACTCCACCACAGCCGCATGCTTTACTTGTACGGATGTGGAGTTCATTTGGTGTCAAAAGTTCTGGTCGTTAACTCTTTCATCGCCAGCATTGTTGAAAAAAGTTGCCAGCCACCGCCAGCGATTTTGATGATTTTCACTACAATTTGATGGCCTCCAGTATATTTTGCTGTATGAATATTTGAATATGCAATACGCCAAAATAAAGATCCTCTACTTTTAAACAAAAAAAAAAAATCTGTTTTATTCTAGCTTTAAAGCATTCTTTTTTTTTTATCAACACTTAAATATAGGTAGGTTTCATAAATGCATAATTGAGCAAAAAGGTGAGAAAATCGCATTTTTATCAAACACTACATCTGGATAATATTCAGTATGATTATCAAAGCATAAATCCAGTAAATCGCTTCCATCAACACCTCTAAAGCTTGCACAGACATCACTTCCTGGATCAACATTTTATGCAGTTTTCATTTATATGCTGTCTATTGCTGATGATCGCATTATTTTTCATATGCATCTGTTTCCATAAGAGATCGCTCGTTTCTCCGTCCTGTTCACGTGTGTTTGTACTCGTTCAGAAGATACGTAATAGCGCCCCCAAGTGTATAAAAGCCGTAAAAACTCGTCTTTGGCGGGAAAGCGTTTTCTTGTAAAAGAGGAGATAACTAGTCAATGGCGGCGAAAGAGTTAAACTGAAAAAATGTTTTAATGTCTTCATCATGACAAAAGATCGGGCCCAAATGCTGGAGTTACATTAAAAAGATTGATAAAAAAAAAGTAATTTCTCGACAAAAAAAAAAAAATTTCACCCCCACAAAAACAGTTCGGTGATTTGATGCATGCTGGGAGTTAGAGTCTGTCAGCCTCGGCGTGATCTTCTGGTCTGGGATCAGTGAGACGGTGAACTAGGGCTGGGGAATCCTGTGAACTGACCCTCCGTCACGAGCGGATGCTCCGACTCCATCTGACGGGAAACAACAAAACACACTTTAAAACATCCGCGAAGACGAGCGTCACTATTACTGCTGCTTATAGCTACGGTTATGGATATTGCAGCATTTGTGCACCAATGATTCCTCGAATCATGAGGAGAGGCGTGATGCTTTCAAATAGAGTTAATGGAGATGCATGTGATTCAGCAGTGCACATTTCAATTTGAATGTGCATTAAGAAAATAAACTATGTCAGTTCAGAACTTCAGACTATAATGTTCTCTATGGAAGTCGCTTTGTGAAATGACGTTTCATCTCGGTGGAAAATAATATTACATGCATTAATGGGTCACTGACACACTACTGTTTGGGGTCAGTAAGATTTTATTTATACTTTTTTTTTTTTTTTCAGCAGAGACATTAAAATTAAGAAAAAAGTGACAGTAAAGACATTTATAATGCAAAAAAAAAAAAAAATTTTTTAAATAAATGCTGTTCTTTTGAACTTTCTGTTCATCTGTGAATCCTGAAAAATAAAATGCATCACAGTTTCCACTAAAACACTGTGCAGCACAATTGTTTTCAACATTGATGATAATCAGAAATGTTTCTTGAGCAGCAAATCAGCATATTAGAATGATTTCTGAAGATCATGTGACACTGAAGACTGGAGAAATTATGCTGAAAATACAGCTTTGATCACAGAAATAAATTACAGTTTAACAGATATTCACATAGTAAACAGCTATTTTAAATTGTAATAATTTTTCAAAATTTTTACTGTATTATATCAAATAAATGCAGCCTCGGTGAGCAGCAGAGACTTCTTTCACAAACTATCTTGCCGACCCCAAACGTTTGGCCAGCAGTGTAGGAGCATACTGAGGGTTTCTATTCTTTAAACCAAAGTCTCCGGGTCTCTTATACCTGTGCGTCTCTCTCTCTGTCCTTTGGGACCCGGTGTCTCTTTTTCTTTGGTCCAGCTGCCGACTGATGAGGACACGTTGGAGAACAGCTGTCTTCATCAGCACCAACAGCTGAATCTAAACCTGCCTTCCCTTCATCCTGTAGGAACACATGAAGCGTGAAGCACGAGTCATCAGCCATCGATACAGACTAGTGTTAGAACAAACAGTTTAATTAATATCAAACTGAAAACTCGGATCAGAATTGGGTGACCTCCAGTGTGATGGTGAGCTGTGCCGTCCTGTAATCATCTCCATACGAGTCCAGAGTCTTCATCAGAAACCTGACACACACACACACACACACACACACGTTCAGCCATTAAACATGCTACTGTGTTACGATACTAATGGACCAAATGAGAGATTCACAGTTGGGATAGATAATCAAAAAATAAATCAAAAGATTAAAGTGAAAAATGAAAAAATGAAAATTTGCTTAAATGTGCTCACCCTCAGATGAGTTTGTTTCTTCATCAGATTTGGAGAAATGTAGCATTGCATCAGTGTCTCAGCAATGGATGCTCTGCAGTGAATGGGTGCCGTCAGAATGAGAGTCCAAACAGCTGATAAAAACATCACAATAATCCACAAGTAATCCACAGCACTCCAGTCCATCAATTAACAGACTGAGACAAATCCATCAAGATGTTTTAACTAAAATACAAGTCCATAATTCATAATAACGCTTCCTCCAGTGAAAAAGTGTTCTGGTGTGAATCAGGAGAGAAATCTGCACAGATCAAGCACCGTTTAAACAGCTCTAAACACATATGTGGCTGGTTTTGATGTACTTTTGATGGACTCATATTTTGTCCAAAACTACAAAAAAAGGTCTTGATGGATTCGTTTCTTACAAACACGCAGCTTTTGTCTTCTCCAGACGTTAACTGATGGACTGGAGTGCTGTGGATTACTTGTGGATTATTGTGATGTTTTTATCAGCTGTTTGGACTCTCATTCTGACGGCACCCATTCACTGCAGAGGAGCAAGTGATGCAATGCTACATTTCTCCAAACCTGATGAAGAAACAAACTCATCCTAATCTCGGATGTTTTTCATTTTCAGTACTTTTTCGTTAA